AAATTTTAAAAAATATATATTAGGAGAGTAGATGACTACCTTAGAAGGATGTATTTTTTTTTTTTTTTTTGAGCAGAGCACAAGAGCCCTGGTTGTCTTTATTGTACCGGTTGTCATCTCACGTTGCATTCTTCATATTAGTCTCATTAGCTCCTGCAGAGTTGTCCATGGCTAGGTTACATGATTATATGCTACTGAGTACTTGTGCTAGAAGAGCAGGGTCACATCCTCAGGTATCCATAAGAGCCTGGGGTTTGATGCAGTTTCAGTGATTTGCTACAACTGTGCACAGGAAAAAGAACCCGTGGCTATGTCCTTGCCTCCAACTTTGGCATCTCTTAAAATATGGGTGGGATCACCTCCATCCAATGATCTCGGTGGGAACCTCCAAAATGATACAGGGAGAAAAACTGGTCTTGGGTGGGTGAGCTCCATACCATACAAGGAACCTCCAAATGACATAGAGAAAAACAATCTCTGGACCTGACCTGCACGAGTTCGTGTTCTCTAAAACCGAAGAATGAATTTTAGGAACAAACGGAGGTTATGAGCAGAATATATTTATTGAGAGAAAGAAAGCTCCTGTCCAAGAGAGGGACAGGAGGGAGGCCCGAGTGGATAGTTCCCCCAGGATGTATTTTTTAAATTTTTTTTTTTTTTTTTTTTTTTTTTTTTTTTTGATACAGGGTCTCGCTCTGCATTTCACACTCATAGTGATCCTCCTGTCTCATCAGTCTCCCTAGTGCTGGGATTACAGGCTTGCGCCCCATGTCTGAGGCTAGGGTCTGAGGCTGGGCTGGAGTCAGCACAGTGTCTTATACCCAGGATCAACTTGGGACCTTGCACTTGCCAGGGAGACACTTATGCTGCAGAGCTATCTCCCCAGCCCAGAAGGATGTGTTTGGGATTTCCCAATGTACTATGAATATCTTTGAGAGACATTATATAAGTTATGGTATATTTCTGGAAAACTGAAATGTCTCTCAGTATGTAGCTTGCACATACTAGCTTCTGCTGCATAGCAAAGTTTTTTCAAAACTTACTGGCTTAAAGGGGCAAAGGGACAGTTTTGGACCAGGGACATAGCTCAGTACCTGCCTGGCAAGTGCAAGGACCTGAGTTTTGAGTCCTGATACCAAAAAGATGATTATTTTTCATTCTTTTGGGTTGGCTATGTGGTTCTTTGTTGGCTATGCCTGGGCTGTCTCCTGATCCTATGCTCACCTGGACTGTGGGCTGGGTCTGGGCTCAGCAAGATGCTGGGTGGCGGTCTCCCACAGATTTCCTTCTTGGGCCCCTACACACCATGCTTTCCACAGCTCCAGGAGATGGTTAAAAGATCCTGGTATAGAATTCTATCAGGGAAATTTGTAGCCTTTTCTTTTGGGGTAGGCCTCTGCCCAAGGCATGAGTTTAGACACTGTCATCTTAGACTAGTACAAGGACTTTGCTGATTCATGACATATAGATTGCAGAAGTTGCTGCTTTTGGCTGTTGTGGGAAGGAAGACCAGTAGCAGGGGAGTTGGCTGTTCTCTGAGATGTTCCAGAGGTCCTTTTATTGTGTCGTTTATCTATTCTCTTTTAGAAATTATGGCTGAGGTAGAGCATTTCCACATAGATGAGAGCAGCAAAGGAGAGACATCCTCAAACTCAGTATCCTTTGGTACAGGATAGCCTCAGCCACATCTGTCCTTTAAGTAATAGGGCTTGAAAACATTGTCAGCTGTTAATCATATGTTTTATAACTTCTTTTAATGTTTAGGGCAAAATGTTCTGCAGCTATAGTGAGTCGTATTTCACCTACAGATTTAATATTCTTTTTACATTTTAATTAGACTTTTTCTAAAAAAACTGAAAGGTGTTGGGCTGGAGAGATGGCTCAGTGGTCTAAGGCACCTACTTGGAACAAGCTTGGCAAAGCATCAGGGACCGCGGTTCAATCCCCCAGCACCACATGCCAGCCAGCCCCGCCCCCTGGTGGGCTGAGCTGGCCACACACACACACCTCTCTCTCTCTCTCTCTCTCTCTGTCTCTCTCTCTCTCTCTCTCTCTCTCTGTCTCAAATAAATAAAAATAAAAAAAAATTTAAAAAAAAAAATAAATAAAAATAAATAAAAAAACTGAAAGGTGTAAATAAAGGTAATGTATATTCCCCTGATAAAATAAACTTCAAATAAAGTGAAATTTCTATGAGTAGTGTTGGTCAATTGAAGTTTAATGGCCAAAGTATTATTTTTAAATTGTTTAGATAGGAAATGAAAGACCTCATTTCTGTAGCTTAAAAAGGGTTAAAAGGTAATAGTTACAAGCTACATTCAGTAGCTTTTTAATGCATGATTAGTACATTGATTCTCAAACCTGTGTATAAAATCACATGGAAACTTTAAACACACACATTCTCAGGCCTAATTCTAGCGAACCAAAACCTCTGGGGACTGGGGTTGTTAGTTTTTCATAACTCCCTGGGTTGGAACTCTGCTTCTGAGCATGAAGAAGCAACAGGAGCTGCTATCACAAACAACTAGAAAGCTGGAAAAAATATAGGGCGCAGTTATTTTCAGACATTGTATATACAGTAAGTAGTGCAAAACTATGATGACTGAAAAAAGTTAAAAGATGAAGGAAGTCCTGTTACAGGTCACATTCTTTTCCTGGAGGCAATTTCCAGATGGTAGTACAAACCCACCTGGAACAGAGAAGAGGAAGCCAATTAGATCTGAGGGAATGTGAATCAACATTCAAGGTCAGAGTCCCTGGGAGGAGGGAGTAACATAGAGAAAGGGTCTAGAACTCTGCAGAGGCAACTTTCTGAGTCTTTGCTTGAATGTCAACAGGAACTTATGCAGGTAAAACTCGAATCATTTTGTAGGAACAGTTACAAGGAACTATCACCAACACGTTCCGTAGTTCGCATACTTAATTCAAAATAAAATTTTCCCACAGAGAGAACTCCAGGCCCAGTTTTTTATTTATCTTTTTCTTCAGTCTTTTTGAGCCAGGGACTCACTATTCAGCTCAGGCCGGCCTTCAGCTCTCTTTGTAGCCCAGGCTGGTCTCAGACTTGCAATGATCCTCCTGCCTCAGCCTCCTGAGTGGCCCAGTTGACTTTTATAGTGACCTCAATCAAAACCTTTGTAGCAGAAATAATTCTGATCCTATACAAAGTCTCTCAGAAAACAAAAAAAGAATGAAGATTTCCCAATTTATTTTACAATTCCAGTGTCCTGGTAGCAGAAACACAAACATTATGAAGATAGCTCCTAACTAGTATCTCTTATGAATATAGACGCAAACTTAACACGTTAGCAAATTAAATGTAGTAGTTTTAAAATCTACCAAGTATGGCATACCCCAGGAATTTAAGATTAAAATTTACCTTAAATGAAAAAAGGATAGAAAACCCACCACATTAATTTCTGTAAAGAAATTTTAGTAAAATTTTATGCCTATTTATAGTAAAACTTAAGTTAACTAGAAATAAGAATCAGTATTGAAAGAGAAGACCTACAGAGAGTCTATAGTATACTGTCATACTTAGCAGTTAGAGATGGTCCCTTTCCCTCGATGATTAGCAACAATACAAGGATACTCATCACCACCTTTTTCTTTTCAAAACATACACATGTACACATACTTTGCTGGAAGTTTTGCTCTGTGCCGTAAGTGGCGTGAAATAAAACAAATGGATAAATTGAAATTGGTAGTAGATACATTATAAAACTTTTCAATGAGGACATTTTGCAGAGAAAATCTTTATGACCTTCTAGAATGTAAAGATTTCTTATTTAGAACACATAAAAGCATAAATTATAAAAGCAAACTGATAAATTTCATGTCAGAATTTAAAATGTGTTTAGAAGATGTAGGAAAAATATGAAGGCAGCCAGGTATAGTCATGCACATCTGTAATCCAGTACTCTGGGAGCTTAAGACAGGATTTAAAGTTTAAATCCAGCCTGGACAGTTTAGCAGTTTAGTAAGACTCTGCCTTAAAATAGAAACATTTTTTAAGAGTGCTGAATATGTAATTGAATGGGAAGGCCCTGGGTTCAGTCCTCAGTACTGCCTCTTACCCCAAAACAAGATTTGAAAAACCCCTTTTAAGAAGATGTGCGTGTGACCAGTAAACACTTGAAAAGATGATGAACATTGTTGGTCAAGTGGAAATTAAATCCACAGTGAGATTCTAATCTACTCCCTTGAGAATGGCCAAAATTAAAAATTACAGTATCAAGCATGGTTAAGATGTAGGAACTTTGGACTTACTGAAGTATGAAATGAGTAGCTAGAAGGCAGCTAGATTTTTTTTTTTTTTTTTTTTTTTTTTTTTTTTTTTTTTTTTTTTTTTTTTTTTTTTTAGGCTAGTATGTAACAAAAGGGACTGGGGAGATGGCTCAGTAGAATAAGTGCTTCCCTGGTGAGCTCAAGGGCCTGAGTTCAATCCCCGGTCCCCCACCCCCCAAAGAAAGAATGTAGCACAAGGAAAAGCGCTTATAAAATATTAAGTGTTTTACAAGTTTAAGAATTTGCAGTGGATATTTCAGGTCGCTTCTTTTTTGTTTTTTTTTTTTTGGTGGAACCAGGGATTGAACTTAGGCCCTTGTGCTTGCCAGGGAAGCACTTATTCTACTGAGCTATCTCCCCAGCCCCCTTCATGTCGCTTCTATGTGCAGAAGTCTGGAGATTTAGGAAGCCAGTAATGACATGTTATATTGAGGCAGTTACATATTTAGCAAATGATTGATAGAATTGAGATCTATTTGGAATCAGATTATGAATAACTGATAAAACTACAATAGGGACACATCTATACTTCCTTTTGGTCAACAACATTTGATGCTATTTAGCACTCCTCTTCCTCTTCCTTTGCTCATTGCTGAAACAAAATACCCAACACCGAAAAGTTAAAGAAGGAAAGACTTATTTTGCCTCATTTCATAGTTGACTGGCTCCAAGACAGGCTGGCAGGCAGAGAGGCATCACAGAGGAGAAACAGTTCATAGTGGGCAGAAGACAGGAGGGCAGCACATTTGTCAAATATCACATATTAATGTGATTTTTTTAAAAAAAATTATTTATTTATTTATTTTTTGTGGAACCGGGGATTGAGTTCAGACCCGTGTGCTTGCCAGGGAAGCACTTATTCTACTGAGCCATCTCCCTGGCCCCCAAAATTATTTTTAAATAGATTAATGAAATCACAATCAGAAAAACAGCAGTTGTTGAGGTCTATAATGGAGTCTAGAAGGGGAAAAATAGTATGGACAGAAGTGTTTTGTATCATTACTATGTTAATGTCCTAGCTGTCAATTTATAGGATGTTACCACTGTGAAAACTGAGTGAAGCGTACACCAATCTGTTATTTCTTACAGTTGCAGGTGAATCTATAATTACCTCATTTAAGAAATTTATTTTATTTTATTTTATTTTTTGGTGGAACCAGGGATTGAACTCAGACCCTGGCGCTTGCCAGGGAAGCGCTTATTCCACTGAGCCATCTCCCCAGCCCCAGTAAGAAATTTAATTTTTAAAAACATCTGTTGATCACATTATATGCCTCTAGTGTGTATTATAACCTTTCTGTTATACTATGGAAGGAATTGTGCAAATTTATAACTAAATATTTACTCTCTGCAATATTTATTTTCCTTGAGTCTCAGCACTAAGTTTAACTTAACTTTAATACTGTCCATCTTGTAATTTCAGAGACATTCCATAAGTGGACCAATCTCAGCATCCAAGCCCCTCACAGCCTTGTCAGACAAGAGACCAAACTATGGGGAAATCCCAGTTCAAGGTATATCTAATATGTCGCAGTGTTTCTCTCCCTTCCTCCATCCCTCCCTGTCTCCCTGTCTCCCTCACTCCTTCTCTCCCTTAGTGTGTGTTAATTTTTAGAATGTGTTGGCTGCTTTGACCAACTTGTTACTTTCTTTGTTCTTGACATTATTTCAACCAATTTAGTATACATCTTTATCAAAATGTGTACTAATGATATGTCTTAATTACATGGGGAAATAATTCATTGACAAATGCAGCTTTCATAGCAGTTCTCTTGTGCCAATGTAAAGGATGTTAGGGAGTGTGTATCATCACTTGGCACTGTTGCACAGCATGGAATATAAAATCAGTTATCTCTTAACAAACAGTAGCTTAGGAAACTTCACTCCATAATCTATTTTCTCCTGTGTTTTGAAGCTGTATGAGGTCCAGCAACTCTGGAGTCCTTGGAAAGGGACATTCCTGTTCTCAGATAGTTCTTTACAGTAGAGCTGGCATAAGAAGTCATATCCTTCCTTTTGTGGTCTGTGTTCCTTTTTTCAATCCACACTGCTTTTTCATGTACTATGGAAAGATGGGCCACAGTGTCAGGATATAGCATTGTGAAAGTTAGTTGTGGGAACACTCCCAGGTATCCACATCCCTTGGGGCCCAAGGGCTCCTCTTAGCTACTCAAAACCAGTCACCTCTGTGCACTGTGGAGCCTCTTGTTAAGGAAGTTAGGCTTTGTTAGTGGGGCTAACACATGTCAACAGATACAGCTAGGTAATCAGTAGCCTTGTGAGAACTATTTAAAGAGCCAAAAGGATTGATTCTATAGCTGCATTGTAACATCAGTAGTTGAAGAGTAAAGTTTGGCGATTGAACAGGCTCCCACACCTGTCAGCCTTTATTGTTCTGTTAAGCTAGTGTTACACATTCTGAGGGCAGTGGAATGCAAGATACGGCACTGCTGCCACCTTACTTACACAAAGACTTGCCTCCTTCTTGGCTTTGCTTCATTTGGTCACTTATGCCCTGGACTTCTCTCCACTTAATGGTCCTTTTCTATGGGAACAAATAGTGGAAAGTTTAAAGTTCCATTGACTTAATGCTTTGTCTCTGCATCTTCTCTTTATGTTCCACCTCACATGTGGATCCTAAAGAATTTTTGAATGTGGCACAGGTCTCTTAGGCCTCCCTGTGGCTTTACTCTTTGTGGCTGCTTCCTCATATATAAATGGAGAGTAACAACAAACACTTAGCTCACAGGGTGCTTAAATTCCTCTCCTAGTCTACCTACCCTTCAGATCTCCACCTCTGTATTCCACCAACACGACTGTTGCTGATGTTTCACCACACAGTTGGCTCTGCTACCCAATTTGTCAACAACATTTGATGCTATTTAGCACTCCTGTTCCTCTTACTTTGTTCATTGCTGAAACAAAACACCCAACACCCAAAAGTTAAAAGAGGAAAGGCTTATTTTGCCTCACAGTTTGTTGAGGTGTCATTTCATAGTTGGCTGGCTCCAAGATGAGTTAGCATGGCAGAGGGACATCACAGAGGAGAAACAGTTCACAGTGGGCACAAGGCAGGAGGGCAACAACATAGTGAAGTAACAATGCAACAGCAGCTGCCACCTGCCTCTCCTTTTTATCTTTTCCAAGCTACCTGTGCTTTCAGGTAGCACCACCCACATCCCAGTGCACCTTTGCATTATCTGTACCCAGAACTATGTCAAACCAGCCAATGGACAAATTTACAAATTACATACCCTTAATCCCAGCCACTTCTGAAAAGCTCCACCTGTGAGCACACGAGGCTTTGGGAGGACATCTGGATACCAAGCCCGAACACTTCCTTTCCTAGAACTATCTTTCTGGGTTTTCTCAATCATACTCTTGCATCTTCTCCTCTCTCCCATACTATTCTCCTCTACCCTTGTGTTGGCTCCTATCTTCCCCTTGTCCTCCAAATGATGGTATGTCCAGAGTCAGGCTCTGGGCCATCTTTGTTTGTCTATATCCGTTCTCTTTGTTTTTGTCTCCTGTCTCAGGGCTTTAAATATAATTTAAAAAAGCATTCAAGATAGCAGATTTGTATCTCTGGTCTGTACCTTGCTTCTGGATTCCAGGCTCATTTGTCTAGTGTATGCTTTGATATCAGGATTTCAGTATTGAATATTCTCAAACTGAATGTGTCTAGGACAGTATTCTCATATTTCCCAAATTATTCTAGATATAGCTGCCTTTCCATCTCAGGTAATGGCAGTGACATCTTGCAGAAATCTTGGAGTTGTCCTTAACTCTTTTCTTCATATTAGATCTGTTTAGTTGTTTAGAAAATGCAGTGGCTCAACTTTCATAATTTCTCCAGAATCAACATTGCTCTTCCTTCTACTGTTGACTCTGTTGTCTAAGTCACCATCATACCTCATCTGGATTCTGATAAAAGATTTATTATCCACTGCTCAATCTATTCATAACCTTAGAGCTTGAAAAAGATTTTTAAAAATGTGTATGTACATATGTATTTTTTATCTGCATGCTGGAGATTGATTTGGTCTGACACATGGCAGGCAAGTGCTCTACCATTAAGCTGAATGCCCAGCCCTGGAAATAGAAAGTGGAACATACTGCACTACTCAAACCTTCTTGCTTGCCATTTTTTTCAGAGGAAGAGCCAGGGTTCTTCTGATGACTTCTAGCCTTCCAGCCTAGCCTCAGGCATTTCTCTGGCCTCATCTCTTTCTCTTTTACTCACTCTACTTAGACACATGGGCATCTTTGCCACCCAGTACTTGACACACTCTTGATTTAGTGACCTCTTCCTGGCTGTTCCCCTGCCAGGATACTACCTGGGCATCTAGGTGATTCTTCCCATGCTCTTTTTCAAGGCTTCATTCAAGCCAAACCTCTCCAATGAGGCTCTGTGTATCAGAGTTGAAATTGGAAATATGTTTGTATGACACCCTTCTCTTAATATACCCTATATGCTGCTTGCACCTCTTTGTCACTTTTCTCTTAATATCCCGTAATTTTTTGGTCTGTACTTTCTATTGTCTTTCTATTAGATTGTAAGGTCTGTGTGACAGAATTTGTCATTTTTGCTCACTGAAGTGTTCTTAGCACCATTAGAAATCCTGAGTTCTTCAAGTAATTGTAAAATGAGTGAATGAAAGAAGAATTAAGGCTGAAAGTGCTTAGCACAAATTTTAGCCTATACTAAATGTTCACAGTTAGAATTTTATTATTAAAAAAAAAGGATTTTATTTATTTTTTGTTTTATTTTGTAGTACAGGGGATTGAATTCAGGGGCATGCTAGGTAAGCACTCTACCCCTGAGCTATATCCCCAGCTCCTAGATTTTATTTTATTTTTTAAGATTTTTATGTTTATTAGTAAATGTTTGTAGTGCATAATGATTGTATTCATCATGGGGAATTGGTATATATTTATGACACATTTTATGTCCCTTTTCCCTTCTCCTTCCTCCCACATTAGATTTTATTATAACAGTATCTGTAAACTTTTTCTGAGTAATACAAATGGCTAAGAATGATAGGTCTTAATAGTTTACAAGTAAAAGATTTTAGGCAGATTTTAGAATCCAACAACTTCTGCAGGATTTTTCTTCCTGCCAGCAAAAAGCTGTGAGAAAGCAACTATAAATGTTGTGTCCTGGGCATCTTCAAAGAACTACATTCATTAAGGGCAGCAGAGGTGGAAACTAATAGGTTCAGGAGCACACCCACACTTGGAGGACACTGGATGATCCTGGAACAGCAGAGGGTAGCAAGTCCCCATGACTTAAGTGATCTCTAAGAAGTGACTCAGATCATTAACTCAGGGTCTTGGGAGCAATCCCAGTCTGTAGCCAACTCTTTTTTGCCTCTAGTTCTCCAAGGCTGCCTTCTAGACTGAGCCTGCTTGTGCCACAACTGGGCAAGGTTTACTTGGGAAAAATAGCTTTACTTTAGTCACTTTTTCAAACACAGAATCCTAGGGCATCCAAGAAAGGTAGCTTGAAAATTCTATTATCCTGAGCACCTCAGCAGACTTAGGAAAGAATCAACTCAAACCATTTAGCTATTTCTGTTTTCTTGGCTTTTGTGGATGGAAAATGAGTATGGAAGATCCGTAGGCCAAGGTTATTTAAGACAGACTAAGTGCCTTAAGAATCTGTTCCTTTATCTCTGTATTTTATTATCTGGTGATGTATCCATGACAGTGCCATTGAACAAGGATGTGTCTACAGATTGTATTAATGCTGATCTCATTTCTACTCCAGCCTCCTTTAGTGCCTAAATAGGGCTCAGTTAGAATGTTGCAAATACAGCTGGCAGGGAAAACATTTTAAGTGAATTTTTATCTGGGACGTTGTTGATACAGTGATTTTTTTTTTTTTTTTAATTAGTACATGTTTGCAGCACATAATGTTTTCATTCTTCATGGGGAACTGGTACATGTACATAATACATCTTTCTTTTTTTATTCCCCCACCCTCCATCTCTTGATCCCCTTCCCATTTGAGAAAGATACATTACTCTACTTTCTATATGGTTCTCTACTTTCTGTATGAACCTTTTTTTTTTTTTTCAACAAATAATACACTGCATATATTCTTCTTAGTGGTTAATTGCTGTACAAGATGCGGACTTGTGATCCGATTTACAAACACCATTAGAACAAATCATTCTATTCATTAACAGAATGTAACTATCTATCCCAACCACTTTGAATACACGGATACAAAATGGGCATTCATCTGTATACCCCATTTTTTCTAAGTTCCGTTATTGAATATTATAGGTGTGTAAACTCAGCAAAATATTCTAAAAGAGTCCAGTAGCCCATAATAGCATTGAGTCTTCTGTTTAACTGTATGAACCTTTTATCTTGCTCTTTTTTTTTTTTTTTTCCTGGTACCAGGGATTGAACTCAGGACCCTGCGCTTGCCAGATAGGCGCTTATTTTACTGAGCTATCTCCCCAGCCCTAAAAATTGAGAAGGAGGGTGTTTTTTGTTTTTTTTG